ACCCCGTTGCGCCCGCGCCCCCCCCCCCCCCCCCGCGGCGTCTTGACATTTGCCGCGGGGACAGCTGGGCCCTTCGCGTGACAGCGAAAGGCGATCCGGGGCTGCGCGACCCCCATGGTGACCTGTCCCTGTCCCCGTCCCCCCACCCCCGCAGGTCCTGGCCTGGTTTGAGGAGGGCGAGGAAACCATCACCGCCTTCGTAGAGCCCTTCGTCATCCTCCTCATCCTCATCGCTAATGCCGTGGTGGGCGTCTGGCAGGTAAAAGGGTGGCTACAGGGCTGGGGACATCGGGACTGGGCTTGGGGACGGGGTTGGGGACACAGGGACAGGGCTGGGGACAGGACTGGGACTATGGGAGCAGGTCTAGGGACACAGAGACGGGGCTAGGGCCATGGGAGCACATCTGGGGACACGGGGACGGGGCTGGGGCCAGGACTGGGGTCATGGGAGCAGGTCTGGGGACACGAGGACAGGGCTGGGGTCATGGGACCACGTCTGGGGACATGGGGATGGGCTGGGGCCATGGGAGCAGGTCTGGGGATGTGGGGATGGGCTGGGGCCAGGATTGGGGCCATGGGAGCAGGTGTGGGGACGTGGGGATGGGCTGGGGACAGGGTTGGGGTCATGGGAGCAGGTCTGGGGACACGAGGACAGGGCTGGGGCCAGGATTGGGGCCATGGGAGCAGGTGTGGGGACGTGGGGACAGGGCTGGGAACAGGCTTGGGGCCATGGGAGCAGGTGTGGGGACGTGGGGACAGGGCTGGGAACAGGCTTGGGGCCATGGGAGCAGGTGTGGGGACGTGGGGACAGGGCTGGGAACAGGCTTGGGGCCATGGGAGCAGGTGTGGGGACGTGGGGACAGGGCTGGGAACAGGCTTGGGGCCATGGGAGCAGGTGTGGGGACGTGGGGATGGGCTGGGGACAGGGTTGGGGTCATGGGAGCAGGTCTGGGGACACGAGGACAGGGCGGGGGCCAGGCTTGGGGCCATGGGAGCAGGTGTGGGGACGTGGGGACAGGGCTGGGAACAGGCTTGGGGCCATGGGAGCAGGTGTGGGGACGTGGGGACAGGGCTGGGAACAGGCTTGGGGCCATGGGAGCAGGTGTGGGGACGTGGGGACAGGGCTGGGAACAGGCTTGGGGCCATGGGAGCAGGTGTGGGGACGTGGGGACAGGGCTGGGAACAGGCTTGGGGCCATGGGAGCAGGTGTGGGGACGTGGGGATGGGCTGGGGTCAGGATTGGGGACACGGGAGCTGGTCTGGGGATGGGGGGGCAGGGCCGGGAGC